GTCCAAGACATTTGGCGCCCAACGTGGGGCCCGGGTTCTGAACACCGGATCAGCCGACCCAGGGTGGATGAGGGGGACCGTGGAGCATTCCAGACGCGGAGACTGATCACCTCCGAAAGCGGTAAGTGAATTTTTATGTCTAATAATTCCTTACCTGCGTAGTCTGGAATTGCCCAGCGGGACTACTCACCCGTCTGGCTGTCCGTTGATCAGCAAAGTGACAGGTATACTTGCCAGGGGCTCCTTTGAACCCACCTGTCAGTGTAACGTCATCTACCAGTGTGATATGTCTTGTCTTTTGTGTTGTCTGTGTGTACCCTTGCCAATGCCATAATGCCATTGCACATCCTCTCAGATCCATTACTTAAGGGGCCGCCCAAACCCCCCCCCATGCAACCAAGCACAAACGAAGTGCCCCACAAGGGAGTTTTGACCCCCATGTCTATATAGATGCGATAGGAGTCCCAAGGGGGGTACCCGATGAATTTAAGGCCAGAGACCAAGTGGCCGCAAGATTTGAATACCTATTCCTCTTCATCACTGAGAACAAGAATGTAGATTGGATAAACTACATCTACTATAATCAACAACGGTTTGTAAACTACACACGAGATGCCCTAAAGGGGATAGCAGAGCAGTTGGAGGCTACTTCTAACATGGTCTTTCAAAATCGTATGACACTCGATATGTTATTAGCTGAAAAAGGGGGGGTTTATAAAATGATACCAAAGACCATGACCTGCTGTACGTATATCCCAGATAACACAGGCCCAAATGGGAAGGTGACACTGGCCATCAAGAGGTTGGAGGACCTGTCAAATTAACTTAAGGAAAACTCTGGTATTACACATCCCTGGAATCAGTGGTTTGGATGGCTGAGTGGCTGGCAGAAAGCCCTCGCCCAAGCAGGGGTGGTTATCCTGGGTATTATCATTCTAATGGCAGTAGTCGCCTGCTGTGTGATCCCTTGCATTAAGAGGCTAATAGGGAAAGCTGTGAACGAGATCTCCCCTACATTCCTGAACTATAACAATGTTGAACTCCCCCGTGAAGAAAGGGAATCCTATACTCCCTTACAGACCATGGCCCCTGATCATCATATTTCAGACTTATAAAAAAAAAGGGAATGCTACAAATTTCCCCCCCTAACAGACAACTATAAGCAGGGAAAGACAGTGCCTGACTGTGGCCTTCTCAGGACGTATCGAGACTCTAGGGATGGATTAGCCACTCAGGGGCTCTATATGCGTCTTAAAAAAGTTCCAAGGGGAGGGCCACCAGGCAGTTAGGACATCAGAAGACATAGGGACAGTCAGGAATAAAATAGCCATTTTAAGGGGGGATTGTAGTGGATTGTGATAGACAGTCCACGTTTTATTGGATGATCAGTAAATGACAATTTTATAGTCTTGCTACTGTCTGTTTCTTGCTCTTTAAATTCCTTACTCTCTTAAGTAAACAATCAGATATAGGTTGACAGAACAATGATGATAATTAAGATGGCGCCTTCATCCGGAGTCTCACCCTTGGTGACTCATTAGGAGAAAAGTATTTTTTAATGTAAACAACCCCCATAAAAGGGAATGAGTCTCTTTGGGGACAATGATTGGAAGATATCAACACGGATGGAAGAACACGTGGAAACCCAGTGGACTTTTCACCCAATCAATGTATATGCTTTGCCTGCATCATATGCCCTATAAATGATACTGTTAGTTCCTCAATAAAACAGAATTTTAGGAAGTTGGCAAACTGCGAAGTGTCAGTGTCTTACTTCCACGTGCACGTATTCTCATATTAATTTGGCTCAGTGGTAGATCACGGTAAATGGTCTGTAAGTGACCGAGTCCAAGACAAGGAGATGTCAAAATAATGGTATAGGGGGGCTGGGCACTGCCCTGGGCAACATGTATCAAAGCAAACAAATAAAAGTAATAAATTCCATTTGGAGAAATGGCAATTGTGATAACTCAAAGCGCAACTTTACATTTCAAAAGTTCTTTAAATAACATATGTAGGGGATGCCTGGAACCTACCTGTGAAGTGGAACATCTGTACTATGTATACAACCTACTGCAGCAAAACTGATATTTGCAAAGAAAAAAAATTGCCTTTTAATAGCTGGTAAATGACAGCTTCCACTTGCTTTCTTCTGTTCCCCCTAACAATACAAACTAGATCAACATCCTTGATGAGGATCTGGTATGGATGTCAAGTGAAGAGATGTCACCTGCACACCAAGGATTCCTCAAGTTGGGTCCACAGCTTTATTTCAGGGTCACATGATAAACACAAAGGCAACGTTTCGGAGCTGCGCAGGGCTCCTTCATCAGGCATGTGACTGAGAACTGACTAATCAAATACCACTGATTGCTCAGTTCTCTCTGCTGTTCTGAGCAGAGAGTCGGGACTGTCAGTACTTCTGCTGCTTGCCCTACCACTACTGTGGCCACTTTTCCCACTGCTACCCCATTGCAGATGTTAACCCCGTGGCTGGTTTGATATTGCAAAATAAGCCAGGAATCCCAGAGGGTCAAGACCATATTTTGTCAAAGATGTCACCCAGCCTGTTTGTTGGTATTTGGCAGCTGACCAGGAAACTGTCATTTGTAACAGAACGCCAAAGTGCAGGTCACCATCCATCCTATATACTGTAGTTTACATAATTACATAGTTAGAAAAAAGACACAAGTCCATCTGGCTCAAAAAACAAAAAAAAACAAAACAAAAAATAAACATTTCTATTTATTAATTTAGTTTGGTAAATAATGAACTTTGTAAAAAAAAATTTCAAAATTAATAACAATATACTTCTTACTCATTCAAGTTGGGGGGGGGGGGGGGGGCTAGATTTTGGCGTCTCTCTTGCGTTATATGAGGACCTTATGTTATACAGTATGAGATGTGGGGGTGGGACCTTTGTCTTCTTTTCCCTTGCAAAGTACCCTCCCAGTGTTGAGGGAATGTGGCTTTGCATGGTCAGAAGGAGCTAGCCAGCCAGGATAAAGGGGTCTAGCATTAATTTTGAGATGGCCCATGCCTTGTTTTTTTTTTTTGTTTGTTTATTTGTTTTTGCTTCCTGAGGCCCCATAAAATCCATATCAGACCACTGGTATCCACTGGATGAGGGTTGGGTATGGATTTTAATGGGGAACTAATGCCATTTTAACAAACAGAACAAAGCCAGTCAGAAAATGTAATTTAGCTTCAAGATGTTTTTTTTTTTTAAATGTCCCTTTTGCTGCAATACATAACACTGTTGCACAACATCACATGCAGGTTTAAACCATCTCCCAAGCTTGTTATTTAATGTAATAGTGTATTTTTAATCTTGACCTTTATCCATCTCCCGCCCGCCATATAAGGAAATGACCGGAGGGCGGTGGATCTCTCGTTCTGCGCATGCGTCCCCAAGAAACACGCGTCGCGGCGATCGATGGTGCGCTGTGTCCTTGGGACACAGCGGATCACCGATCGCAGTACAGAGCCGATGACACAGGCTCAATTATGTGATCAGCTATGTCCAATCACATCTGATCGCATGTAAATAGGAAATGCCAGTTATCGGCAGTCCTCTTCTCATGCTGACAGCGTGTGAGGAGAGAAGAGGCGGTAAGCGGCATTCCTCAAAAGGGACATCTACATCAGTGCCCTGATCATCAGTGTAGCCCCATCAGTGCTGCCATTCAGTGCCCATAATTTCCACCTTTCAGTGCCCATCAATGCCTCATACCAGTGCCCATCAGTGCACATCAATGCCACATATCAGAGCTGCATTTCAATGCAAACTATCAGTGCAAGTCAGTGCCGCCTATCAGTGTCAGTCAGTGACATCTATCAGTGCCGCCTATCGGCGCCCATCAGTGACACCAATCAGTGCCACCTATCAGTGCCAGTCAGTGCCGCCTATCAGTGCCCATCAGTGCTGCCTATCAGTGCCCATCAGTGCAGCTTAACAGTTTCAATCAGTGCCGCCTATCAGTTTCAGTCAGTGCTGCCTATCAGTGCCATATATGAGTGCTGAATTTCAGTGCTTGTCATTGATGCCTGTCAATGTCCCCCAGTGATGCCTGTCAATGCCCATCAGTTCCACCTATCAGTGCCTCCTCATCAGTGCTGCCTATCAGTGCAGCCTATCAGTGCCCATCACTGCAGCATCATTAGCGTACATCCGTGAAGGAGAAAATTTACTTATTTACAAAATTTTATAACTAAGAAAAAAAAAATTTTCCCAAAATTTTCAATCTTTTTTAGTTTGTTTAGCAAAAAAATCAAAACCCCAGTGGTGAATAAATACCACTAAAAGAAATCTCTATCTGTCTGAAAACAATTTTGTATGGGTACACTGTTGCATGACAGTGCAATTGTCAATCAAAGTGCGACAGCACTGAAAGCTGAAAACTGGCCTGGGCAGGAAGGGGGTGAAAGTGCCCAGTAGGCAAGTGGTACAGAATTAAAGGATATGCTCCCCACTGAATGGCAATTGAATGGCATTAGTACATGAACTTGCAAAGCTTGCAAATTGCCCCCCCCCCCCAAAAAAGCAGAAAAAAAATCTAAGATTTAGCTCCCATAGACCTCAAGTCTAAGGACTCTATGTTTGGGGTTCACAGATTTCCCTCTGGGTTCAGCTAACTGAACTATGCTAGGTACTCCTATACCTAAACTGCATGGCAGGAGAAGGACCTAGCTACGCTGTGTGGCAGGTGTATCTGCATTACAAAATTTACCTAGCAGAATTACAACCCTTGGTACAATGATTTACATAAACAGTATGTATTTCAAATTAATGTCTACTGGTCCAAATTTAAATTGTATAAAAAAAACTAACAATAAATGTCTTTTATTTGCCCCTTTTTTAGTCTGGTAAACATGCTAATCAAAGTGTTTTATTATATCTGATTAACAAGCACAAAAATACCTGTTGATCCTGCCAGAATCCTTGTGAGCTGGCAACTTCCTGTGCTCTCTGTCTGTTCGCAGTGTTCCAAATTGCCAACAGGGGCGGACTGACCATTTGGAAACTCGGGCACTGCCCGAGGGCCCGGGGTCAGTAGGGGGCCCCATGATATGCCCCTGGTACCTTTTTCATGGGCTTTTTTGAGTTTGGGCAAGGACACAGGGGCCCCATGATCTCCTATTGCCCGGGGGCCCCATGAGTTGTCAGTCCGCCCCTGATTCCCAAATTCTCTTTTGTGAACTACATAAGCCCCCCTTCTCCCCTGCATATTATGGAGATGAGGAATGAATTTTCTAGCACATTTCCTATTCTAACAAGACAATTCTGCTTCTCTATAGATTGAGTATGACATTTGAGCGTTTTCACCCCAGGAGAGGAAATGTTCTACTGGCCGGATCACCAGCTAAAAAGAAAGGAGAAAAAAAAGTGGAAAACAAGAAAATGAATGCAGCCTCCACATCTAAGAACTGGTAAGCTGCAATATACCATTTTTCTGTTCTTGGGTTTAGATACACTTTAACAAATGTCAGGAAGGACATTTTGTTTTGAGACATTAAAAGGGGAAGCTCCGCTTGTCTGCCTCCCCTCCCCATCCACTGCCACATTTGGCAGTGGAGGGGAGAAGGGGGGCAGGTACCTGGTTTTGACAGATACCCACTTCCACTTCTGGCTCAGTCCACCCCCCCAGTTTTCTGGGACACTTCACAGGTCCAAGAAGACTGCTGGACCATTCAGGAGGTGCAGTGCAACTCTCGCGTGCGCAGTGGGCACCCTACTGTGAAGCCGCAAGCTGTGCCAGCCTGGTGCCCACAGTTGAGATGCCGGCGCCAGCGGAAGAAGAGGGAGAGAAGGGATGGCTCGGGTGAGTACATCACTGGATCCTGGGATAGATAAGTGTGTGTTTACTAAATGTCAGCAGCAGGGGCGGACTGACCATTTGGAAACTCTGGCACTGCCCGAGGGCCCAGGGTCAGTAGGGGGCCCCATGAGATGCCCCTGGTACCTTTTTCACAGGCTTTTTTGAGTTTGGGCAAGGAATCAGGGGCCCCATGATTTCCTATTGCCCGGGGGCCCCATGAGTTGTCAGTCCGCCCCTGGTCAGCAGATACAGTTTTTATAGGTGCTGACTTTTAAGAAACAGAAAAACGTCTGGAGCTCTGCTTTAACCAGGCTGATAGGCAAAGAAGAGTTTGTTTTTTTTACCAATGAACACTGAAATCAATTTAATGCTAGCCCTATCTTTCTATGCACATGTAAAATAATGACAGAAGTTCAAGCAAGTTCAATGAGAACAAATCATAATATCCAGGAAAAAGAAAAAGGAACAGCAAGTTGTAGAAACAGTGAAGGGACAAAACAAACAATTATGGGAACGTAATGCAGGGAGCCGTGTCAGAAAAGATGTAACACACAACAATCAAACCCTAGCTGGACCCAGCATCACACTGCAAGTCTATAGAAGCACAAACGTATGCACAATTTGCTACATTGGTTTGAAAACCATTATCTACACTAGCAGTTCAGACATGATGAAACTAATTTAGGATATGATGGCAACTGATGCATGAGTCACTGAAGAAGTCAAAATGTACGCCACATCTCCATTGCACAGTATTCCTTGCAGAGCTCTACAGTTCCGAAAGCATAGCAGGGGGAGCAGAGCATACAGGTTCAATTCATATTACAATAAACAGAGCTATGTGAATTGTAATATATCAGAGCAACATAAACAGAAAATAAAGCTCCCTGGTTTATTATGAGGTAAGTGGGAAAAAGACGAGGTTAAGGGTAATCATGTGTACGTGAAATGTAAACGTAAGACATCCTGAAAAACATCGTCTTCCTACCACATTATCTACTATTTATCAATGATTGGAAGCAGAATAGTTATGCAGGCCATACATGGGTCGAATTCCAAACTAATTTTCTTTAAAAAATTGGAAATTTCGTGCATTTTGTAATCCAATTGTGCCATCATTGATTTTGAGATTCAACCAACCAAGCCTTCAGTTTCACCTCATGTTGCTACAGAAAAGAATTTTCGTGGCCAAGAATTTTCTTTCCAGGTCACAGCTCATGCTCATTTCTTTTTTGTTTATATTTCCGCACTATTCTCCCAGAATTGATTTGAAATTTAAAATAATAACATAAGTCATAGAATATCTTTCAATTATTAGGTTTATTATGTTTATTGATAGAGTGGAGCGCGGCACATATTTATTATTTTAAATCAGTTATATGCACTATTATATGCGTAAGTGTTTGGTGTCAGTGAACCACGTGTGTATCAATTTAATTTAATTGATTCATTATTGAGGCACTTTTTTATTCACCATAGTAGCTTGCAAGCACATTTTGCACTTTTAAAATTCGATGGTCACTCGAAAATCTGCCGTTTCCTTGACCCACTAATGGTGCAAAATTCGAACGAAAATTCTTAAAAAAGAATTTAGAAAGAAAATTATTTCGGAATTCGACATTGCACACTGCACACTGGATGTTTTTACAGCGGCTGTTTTTGGCTTTTAGCATTTTTTCCTACAGCCAGTAAACTACCCAGCATGTTATCCTATGTGTCCATGCACACATAGACTGTAATCAACGTTTTTTTTGCTAGAAAAAACCCCCAGAACTAGTGGAATTCTAGAGGAGTTTTTTAGCTGTAAAAAGGCTTCATAAACACTGAGCGTTTTAATAATGCTGGTAATGTTTGCTGTGTAAAGTCACTTTAAAAACATGAGCTTTTCAGCATTTTTTTAGCGTTTTTGCATTAGCGTTAAGCTCAGTTGTTTTGCATTTACATTTTTTAGCATCTAAAAACGATGGTTTTATCGCATTTTGCTGCATTTTTCAGCGTTACAGATATCATACCATGATAGTTACGGAGGGAAAACCTGTAGTATTAATTCAAGACATGTTGTAGAACAATGATTTCCACCCAGTAATTCTGCATTGTACAAAAAAAAAAAATAAACTCACACAGCACCTTTTGTAAAAAACGAGGGGACGTCCACTTGCAGAAGTCTATACAGTACAAATAGGATGCTCACCCAAATGGACATTTTTTTTTTTTACAATTCCTTGCATGCACTAGACCCCACAGCAGTCGCTTGGGCTGCCATGATTGTAGTTACACCTAGTAGCTACAGCAGTCAGCAGCATGTACTAAAGAACACTAAGAAGGAAAAGGTTAAACTCAAAAGTATATCATTTGCTGAGAAAGTGTTTTAAAAAACATGGAACCTCAAATGAACCCTTTTAACAGGATGAACAGAAGTATTTACAAAAGATGTAAAGATGGGGCAATTCAAGGGCCTGTAAAAATTATCCTACAAAAAATATATAAATGCTCTCAATGATTTAATCTGATTTTATTATGGTTTCTATACATTTCTATATATTGGGTGAAATTTCTTATATAGCTGATAGTGGCTGCACTATGAGAAGGAGGAGCATATCATGAGTGTATGACCGAGGTTCAAATTTGCAGTTTTCCCTAAGGGGTAGATTTACTAAAGCTGGAGAACTCAGAATTTGGTGCAGCTGTGCATGGTAGCCAATCAGCTTCTAACTTCAGCTTGTTCAATTTCAGTGGTTGTAAAGGCTGCAGGTTTTTTAACCTTCAAGCATTCTATACACGGCGGTAAAAACCTTCTGTGTGCTGCTTCTCCCACAGTCTCCAATACTTACCTGAACCTGTTTCAATTCAGTGCTGTGCATGAGAGCCTCAGCTCTCTCTCTCCTCATTGGCTGAGACAAAGAAGTGGGAGCCGTTGGCTCCCACTGCTGTCAGTCACAGCCAGTGAGAAGGGAATGGGGAGCAGGGCTGAGCCACACTCACGTCTTAAAGACACACAGAGTGGGGCTCAGGGACAAGAGCACACACGAGTGCCCCCATAGCAAGTGGCTTGCTATGGGGGGCACCCAGCAAGGGGGGGTTGGAGCTCTGGAGGGGGACCCAAGAAAAAGAGGACCAGGGCTGCTCTGTGCAATGGTAAAGTTAGTTTGACATTTTTTTTTAATTTTTTTTTTAAACTATCACTTTAAACTTTCACAATAAAACCTGGAAGCTAATTTCTATGCAGAGCTGCACCAGATTTTGCGCTCCAGTTTTAGTAAATCTCGCCCACAGTGTATCTGAAATTGTGTCATGTTTATATGCAGGGACTGGGCAGAGGAGGTGTTGGGCAGATTTCACACAAGGGTCAAGTAAAATGAGCGCGGACACAAAAAAGTGAATTTCAAACTTCAGAGTATATCAGTTATTTAGCGTAGGGAACACTGACAGAACAGAGGATAAGAATGTAGGTGTGGATAGACAGGTATGGCTTAATATGGTATCAAACTCTCATTTAACAAATTGCCAACAAGTCGGGTTGTTATGACAGAAGAGACCCTATCAATCTCTTGTCATAAATGCTTCCCCTGTCAGCCTTAATTTACACTGAGCCATGCATGCTCATTTCAGCATGCTTTTACAGTACCGCTCTGTGTCGTGATGATGCGATGAGCGAACCCAGAAGGCAGACTGTACGAAGATGAAAGTTCCTGTGACCAGCAGAAGTAGTGACAGCTCAGCAATAGAGGGCTTCATTTGACAGGTAAGTCTGCCATAATATTCAGGATTGGAAGGTACAAATCCTGTAGCAAAAGCAATAAGTGTATTACAATGAAACAAGAACTGACAACAACAAAATTGGATGGTCTGATATAATAATATATTCTATAGAAGGCCATTATTTAGCTATAGTTGTGCTCAAAGTTTACATACCCTGGCAGAAATTGTGACATTTTGGCATTTATATTGAAAATATGACTGATCATACCAAAAAATGCTCTTTTAGTGAAGGATGATGATCATATGAAGCCATTTCTTAACAAATAGTTGTTTGTCTCCTTTTTAAATCATAATGATAACAGAAATCACCAAAATGGCCATGATCAAAAGTTTACATACCCTGGAATGTTTGGCCTTGGTACAGACACACAAGGTGACACACACGGGTTAAAATGCCAGTTAGAGGTTAATGTCCCACATCTGTGGCTTTTTAAATTGCAATTAGTGTCAGTGTATAAATAGTCAATGAGTTTGTTAGCTCTTACGTGGAAGCCCTGACTAGGCTAGATACTGAGCCATGGGGATCAGAAAAGAACTGTCAAAAGACGTGCGTAACAAGATAATGGAACTTTATAAAGATGGAAAAGGACATAAAAAGATGTCCAAAGCCTTGAATATAACACTCAGTACTGTTAAATCACCTATTAAGAAGTGGAAAGTTCGGGGATCTCTTGATACCAAGCGAAGGTCAGGTAGACCAAGAAAGATTCCAGCCATAACTGACAGAAGTGTCCGGGATTCAAAGAAAAACCCACAGGCAACCTCAAAAGAAATACAGACTGCTCTGGAAAAAGACAGTGTGGTTGTTTTGAAGGAGCACAATATGATGACACTTGAACAAAAATGAGCTGCATGGTCGAGGTGCCAGAAAGAAGCCTTTACTACACAAAAAGGACTGGTTAGACATGTCTAGGTGTTGTCAGGCATATTGCAACCAGGCTTTTTTGTGGCATTGGAGCAGTAAAAGCTTCTTTCTGGAACTTTGACCAAACAGCTCATTTTTGTTCTTGGACTTCAACTCCCAGCTGCACTGTTGTGGAAAGGAAGGGGAGTGTAATTAAGTTTCTTGGCTGAGAAGAGGAAATAATTAGGACTGGTAGGAGATGCTGCGAGTGGACCGCTGCACCTGGGAGAAATAGAAACATGGTGGCAGCTATTCCAGAGCATCGTATAATATCCTGGATCCTGGCTGAGCCTGCTGCCAAATTGAGGAGCCAGGCACTGAAGACATTGACTGGGATACACTTTGCCAGTGTGCCAGAAGGAGATCCTCTACTGACATAGATTGGTGAGAGGCCAATGGCCAACCCTGTATTACACCTGGATAAAAGAGGAACAGTGTTGTCCGCAAGTGCCTTCATCAGCTCTTAATGGGACATTAAGTTGAGTGCTCTACCATAATGGCTGGGTCCCAATGAGCTGGTCAGTAGAAGAAATAGAGTAGTATATTATTGACTGC